GTGCATTTTTCAGATTTCACTATGGATATGGATCTAGGATTTTATGTGAAAAGGAGTTAAATAAAGGTCGTTATTCCTTTTCAATTTTCTATCAGAAAACAGTCAAAACTGGATACTTTACCGGTGTTGAACGTTGGTGGACCGGCCGAGTTTTTGGTAGCCTAAAAATAAGTCCAAATAGTTGTATAAAACCAATATAGCTCCATCCCATCAATTTCCTATACCCATAAAAGAAGTAACTTTTTGTTCGCTATCAGCATTTTGACGTGATCGATCATAAATATCACGAATCCATCCTATGAGATTGAACTTGAAGTTTGTAGATCCAAACCGATAGTCATACGGGTACCCTCTACACTTCTGACATTATGTATATAAATTAGTAACAGTTTCGAAATTACTTTTTTTCCTTTTTTATCGTTTCATTTTCATTATCACAACTTATCAGCATCACTTTCTACTTAATTATTTCGTATTAGAGACACCCTCATGAATTATGGATGTTTAGATGCATGAAATATTCATTAGAGTCACTTCAATTTTGCATCTGACATTGAATAAAAAATGGGTTGGAATTGATATTTAAAAATAAAATAAAATAAAAATAGAAAGAAAAGAGCCTAATGGCAACGCCGTGGCAATGATTAAAGAACAATCTTTTTCGGAATACTTTTCTAATGTTTGGCTAAGCTTGAAAGTTATATTTTTTAAAGTAATTTTTTATTGTCGAACATTTTGCTTGTTTGATAATACTTTTAAGTACTTTAGTCGTGGATGTTATCATATGTTTGGTAACAGGGGCGTAGACCTGCCCCAAGCCCAATTAAATTGGTTAAGGAAAAAAAATATGAAAATTCTTTTTTTCTAATGGATACCACACACGTGAACTTGTGATGAAGCATCCCTTTAGATTATAGATCTTTACTTCGAGTCTTTGAATGCATGATTTATTTTCTTAGTATCTTCTTTTCAATTCTTTGCAAATATTTCTATAGATAATAATAAATTTTTAACCCTTTTCCAATTATTCCTGCAGATAATATGTTTTGACTGATTAAATCTGTGTGGAATTTATACAACTCTGTTTTATTCAACCCCAAATTCCACTCTTTTCTCAAAGAAGACTTCCAATTAGAAACGTCCCATGCTTTGACTGTGAGAAAATAAACCTNNNGCTTTGACTGTGAGAAAATAAACCTCATAAAGTTCCAACGACCCATTTAATTAAAGAAAACCATATTCGCCAGGAGTTTTGATTCTGTAAATCCATGGGAAAAAGTGTATATTTTTGGTGTGACCTTATGTTCAAGGAGATGTTTTGGAGATAATACCATATCGACTCAATAATAGATCATGACCGTTAGATTTTGACCAACGAACTCAACTCTTGTAATTACACGTGGAGACTATCTTTTTATTTTGCTTCCTTGACATACAAACAAGAAAAGTATGTGAATATTTACACAAGGAGAGAGAGGGAGAAATATAGGGAAGAAAAAGTCATTTGCTTCTGTTTTGTTTCTTTATCTGTTCGAAAGTCTATTTTTCCAAAGTTGAACTCTTCAAAATCTTGAAACAATTATCTGTTGTTATAATTATTATGTCTGTTTCTCTGTGAATGAGAACAGAATTAAGAGAGTTTTCCTTTTATTCTGAGCCTGATCTTTTACTTCCCATAAACTTTCACATCTGATCCTGTTTGCATCACTTGTTCATATGAAGCTATAAATTTTGTGATCTGTGCCCAGTCCCACATACATGGTTTGAACTTTCTCAAGTTTGTTTTATACTCTAATTCTACTTTTCTGATCTGGTTTTCTTGGTTCCTTTGTTTGTTGAACTATTTGTCTGGTGCTGGATCAAGAAATGCTGTGTTGTTGCGCAAATTGAGCAGTCGATTGCTTGTTAGTCTTGATTTTAGTATTGGGTTTTTGTTGGTTGATCAAGTAATTCAATGGAGGTGGATCAAGAATTGAGGTTTGTGTGCAAGTTGTGTAACAAGAGGTATCCATGTGGAAAGTCACTAGGGGGTCACATGAGGTCTCACGCAATTGCTAATTCTGCTGAATCTGACGAAAAAGCTGAAGCAAACATGAAAAAGACGATGTTTCTTAATGATGGTGGAAAGAATTTCGTCGAAGAGTCAAAGGTTGTTGAATTTGGAAATGGGCAATCAAGTTATGAACTTAGAGAAAATCCCAAGAAAACATGGAGGGCTGTCGATTTGACGTTTCCCTTGCCACCGGAGAAGGTCTGCAGACAATGCGGTAAAGGGTTTCAATCAATGAAAGCATTGTGTGGTCATATGGCGTGTCATTCAGAGAAGGATAGGGGTTTGAAGGACGATCATTCTTGGACGAGTTCAAAGATGGTGATGGATAGTAATTTGGATACTGAGGTTGAGGATCGTAGGTTGAGAACAAGATCAGCAAAGAGTAAGAGGTACAAGAATGTAGTTGTTAAGTCATCCTCTTTTTCCTTAGCTAATGGTTCTTCGTCTGTTTCTGAGGTCGATGAGCAAGAACAAGAGGACATAGCCTTGTGTTTAATGATGTTATCTAGAAATTCTGGGAATAAGGGCGGTGTGAATTCAGTTGTCGAAACTTCTGATAATAATTCAGTTGTTTTGGAGACTAAATCTTCGTCCATTGACATGAAAATGAAAATTTGTAGAAAGGAATGCCTAGATTTTGTTCACAATGTGCACGAGACTCCCCAAATGAAGAAAATTGGGGATAGGAAATCAAAAGCTATTTCTTCGGATGCTGACATTGCTCAAGTGAATAACTCAGATTCCGATTATTTCTTAGACGAAAGCACCAAGGCTGACTCTGATGTATCTGTTGATAGGAACCATAAAAACAGTTCTTCTAATGATTCCAAGAAGCTGTTTATGAGTTTTGGAGCTAGACGAGAGGACTCTGCTATTGAATTCGGGAAGAATTTGTATGTAGTCGAGCATTTTGAAACAGAGCTAAGCAAAGAACTTACTAAGGAAAATGGATATGGGATGAATTCAAATTCTGCTAAGATTCACTCACGAAAGAGAGAGTATATTTCTGAGAGTAGGAGGATGGAAAATGGTTCTTCAGAAATAGGCAAAAAGACACAGACTAGAAGTAAATATGAATGCTTGAACTGTAAAAAGACCTTTAACTCATATCAGGCTCTTGGAGGCCATAGACCCTGCCACAAAAGAAACAATGTTCGTTCTGAACCTGATTATGAAACTGGAGAAAACATCCTAGATGACAATGCTCTTGATTCCAAAACTGCACGTAGGCATGGAGAGTTGGTTGGTAAAAATTCATCCAACTATGCGGAGAAAAAAGTTAAGCCTAAGAAGAACAAAGTGCACGTGTGTCCATTCTGCCACAAGGTTTATAAGAACGGCCAGGCTTTAGGGGGGCACAAGAGAACTCATTTTATCAGTGGTCATTGGGAAAACAATAATCGAACTCAAGAAATCAAGCCCAAGTTTCCCAATTTATTTGATCTTAATCTTCCGGCTCCAGAGGAGGATGAGGATGATGTGCTGCCAATTTCTTCACAGTAGGTTGGTATTCAACTCAGGCACGACTTGTTGCTTGCCCTTTTTTCAAATGCAATGCTAGCATTCGGATAATCTGACGAACAATGTGCTTCACTATGCACTGTTTGCCGATATCAAGGATGGTGCTGGAATTGCAACTAATTTTCTTTATATCGACTGTAAGAAGCCTTCCAATATCATTCATAAGAATAGACCTCAATTTTTCACCTTAAATTCATCCATCATTATGTCGAAACATTAAAATTTGTCACAATTTGTTTTTCACAACAATTAATGTACTTTACTATAGTTGAATAATCCAATTCCTCTTAGTTATGCAATTTGAAGTTTCTGAAGTCAGTTGTGCCCAGTTAACTAACCTGAAGAAATACACTGCTATGGAAATCAATCTGAAAGAAAAAATGAAATTGCCGTTATCTTTCAGGCTCAGAAACTCAAGAATAATAACAATGGTAACATTGGATTTTTATGTTGTTTTGTGGAGTTTACTATGTAGTATGGTGCTACATCTCACTCAACTATACCACTCCATCCCTACGAGAACCGGAAAGCATTAATTAACTCTCCCTCATTCATCTCCCGGTAAGCTTTTGAGTTATCACAAGTCGTACATCACCAGGTGATTTAATATGGTGCTTCATTTCATTCAAATATGCCATTCCGTCTCCACTCGAAACTGAAAGGATTCATTTCCATTCCCTCGTGCCTCCAATCCCAAAGCCTTTGAGATATTTGATGAGTTTTGCTTTTATCGGGTAGAGTAGTGTTATATTTCACTATTATCATCCTATAGCTATAGGAAGAGAATCTGAAATGTGTTGCCCAGATATGCTTTTTACTTGTAGTTGCTTTAGAACATTGTCTTGCATGTGGTCCATGTGATCCTATCTTTCATTGCACATCCATTTCTTTTCCTAGACAGACCTTCATGCCCTGAGCCAAAATTCCTTGCCTTTCAATAGTTGTTCTAAGCGTTGGAACTATTATAATTTACTTCCATAGTTGTCATTAATCATTATAATCACTTCATTCCATTTTGCAATAGAAGAGGTAGTTTTTTGTAAAATACTCATTTGCTGAGTAGCCAGAAAGACAAATAGAGCATGTTATAGTTGCTTTGAATTTTACGGTAGATGTAGCGATGAACGCAATAGGTCGGTGAAAATTGATTCTTAAACCCGACCCTAGTTGTATTACTATATTATAAGTCATTAGAGCATGTTTGGGAGTGCTTAAAATCTCCTTAAATGAGCTTATTTCGCAGCATCACGAGTGATTAAAAGCTCTTTTTTTTAAGGAGCTTTAAGCACCCCAAACATACTCGTTTGTTGTCTTTAAGAACCAAGGAAAAGAGAACCTCAAGTGCTATGTTTGAAGCTGAGTTCCCTTGATGTATGTTTAGTAGGGATTTTAACGTATTTTTCTTTCATAAGACTTATGAGTACTATCCCCATTCTCGCTTTCGAACATGCTTATAGTTTTGTTATACCTATAGTTGGCTTTACATTCAAATAAAAGTAACTAAGGACGATGATGTGGAGGCTTTGTACCATTCCATATTTAACAAATATGATTAGTTTCAAAATATATGATTAAATCACTATCCAAATTCACCTAACCTTCATATCTATATTGATTCTTTTTGTATATCCAAAAGTTCCCCTCCTCTGACTTTGCCAAAGAAAAAAAAAAGGGTAAAGTTGAAGCATATATTATAACTATTTGGCACTCCATGTCCTTATCTTTTTGCATCATAATCTGTCTCCTAGCTTTTGAGATTTCACTGGAGTCAACTCAGCGTGCTCCTCACACAACATGTTAAAGCAACGCTTGATATCATTCACTAGATGTGGCAATATTGTATTTAATCCAATGGGTTCTTGTAACAGAAGAGATAGATTACGTCATTGTCAAGGATCAAACTGTCTAGTAGCTTCAACATTGCATTGAAGGCATGTTTGGTACACAATACTGTACATGATTGATGAACACAGGATCGAGTATTGTACAGTATACTTTATTGGATCATGATGTTAAGAAAGTCGAAGAATCGAGGTATTATATGAAATGCAAGGCAATGAGAATGCTTGTTTCTTTAATAACTTGATACTGTGAATGGCAA